AAAAGAGATTAAAAGATACTGAAGTTCGAAAAACGTAATTAATCCCCTAAAGTTGACGTCATAATCTGTAACACAGTTACAGATGACACTGGGTTTGTGAAACCAATTTAATTTATGTTAAGTAAAAGAACTAATTAATTTCAAGGGTTGCACAAAGTGACGTAACTTTATATAAAAGAAATGAATACAAAGTTTGTTTCAATAACAATAATTCAAATTTGCAGACAAGAAGAACATAAAACAATATTAAATCGTAAAAAATCATACACTCTTCATGACCGAATATGGGCATGACGTCATGACCGCCATGGCCGTTTTCATTTATTTATGATATCGAATAGTTATGTTATATAACTGATGTGAGTGGATTCAATACACTTATTCTTAGCTTTGAAGAATTAACCCTTACCGTACCATCTACAATTTGGTGCCTCCTCCATATCAAGGGTCACTAAAATGTCTTCGTTTTTTTCACCTCTTCAAAATAATTCAAAAAATTTCTAAAAATTCACCAACATACTTTCAACTTTCTAGAATAAATGTTGACTCTTTATTTTGGAAAATAATAAAATGTAGTATATAATTTATAATTACCAAAAGACTCAAAGAAACTTGCACGAACAGGAATCGCTCGGTTACTAGTTACCCATATTAGTACGGTAAGGGTTAAGAGGTAGGGAAATTTGGATACATGTTTCTTGCATGTTCACAATAATACCTTTTATGTACATCCCTCCCCTTCACATATACGCGTCTTAACAAAGATCGACCTGAAAATAGTTAAACTTTTTTTTATCCAAGCAAAGGAACAGCACTATTACGTGCATCTATTTGTATTACGAAATCACTCTGTCAACACGCCCGGTGGGAATCGATGTCAGGGTTACCTTGCTGCTGTAAACGTCGATAAATCTACCGCGCGCGCGAGTCGGCTGATCGCATCCGGCGATAAAGTTCAGCCCCTTGCGACACGCGGAACGCGAAATACCTGCGATAAATATTGGTGCAAGATTCATCGATCTCAGTGGCGATAACCAACTGTTGTCTTTTCGTGGCCCATATAATTCTATTCGTTGCTAAATTATTTCACCTTCAAGAAGCAGACGATCAATTCTTCGAAAATGTGTCTTTATATACTTTGAATTATTAATGACAGTTACGCTTAAGGCACAATTGAAAAGCAGAGACAATAGAGAAACAGAGAATAGAAAATTTCACCTTTGATTTAATCTGGTAGGTATATGTATACAATTTCTGATAAGTTCAAATGTGTTATTCCCTGTTCCTACTGTCTATGCTTTTCATTTGTATCTTAGGCTTTAGACTTATTATTAGATTTTTTCACGCTATGTAGAACCAAAAGTTTTGTTCATGAATTCGCATTTTCCGATAATTACACGAAAGGGACGCTGAAATATCAAAAAATTAAGTTAGATACAGATCTGAAAATAATTTTGTTAAACATCAAAATAATTAATTATTTTCAAATCTATGTCTATGTATATAGCTCTTTTAGATATTTCAGCAAAATTGTTCTTTCCGTACATTGACTCAAGATAAGGTATCTTAATTCTGCAGCACCACTTTGTGCTTTTTAAGGCACAGTCGATATCACGCGTTTTCTCAAAATTAATAAAATACAGTTCAGATTTTATTATAGTAAAATCTTATTATTAAATGTTTCACAAATGTACAAGATTTTTTTCAACTTTTTACGTAGTCCGAAATCATAAAAAATATGCTGTTCCCTCAACGGCAGAGTGTAAACTGCGATAAAAAATGTCAGGGTGATGCTGGAGGGTTAATCCCTTGGATAAAAGGTCGTTTTGCTTGAGATTATCTGATAAAAATCAACAACCTATTTCGGAATCTTAAAATCAAATATCCAAGAAATGGATTTCCGTCGTCGAGCAGCTTATCGCTTCTTCATTTGCTTGAATGATGAACCGTTCGTCGCGTTGCAACTTCATTCATGCATATAAATCGCTGAGCCGGGAGGGTAGTGAACAGTAAACATTTTCGAACGAGAGTTCGCGAAAAGGGTCGGACAAAGGAGAATCTCTCTTTGTGTATCGACGAATTGCTTGTTACCTCTTATGAAGGTTTCGTTTCCCGCAACGATTCTCTACTCTGTGAGGTAAACATTTTCGAACGAGAGTTCGCGAAAAGGGTCGGACAAAGGAGAATCTCTCTTTGTGTCATCGACGAATTGCTTGTTACCTCTTATGAAGGTTTCGTTTCCCGCAACGATTCTCTACTCTGTGTCGAACACCATTGAACATTTTCCAAACAAATATCATCCACGCTCCTATCCCTAACATTATTAGTACAGAAATCTTGAAAAAATCGGTGGATGGCTAGCTATTACAAAATTCTTGCAAATTCAGCCTAGCGCTGGCGATTCATCGACCGCATAAATTTTCCAACGAATTAAACGGCTTCCTCCTCAGTTTCTCAATTCCCTCGTGTTTGTTATCCTCCCCGCGAGTCTGAGTTTTTACGTCCAATTAGCAGACAAACGACGCAGACGAGGACCAATTCTATCGAGCGTCGACTAATCTTGTATTAAATCCTTGGCACATTCAGCGCGGAAAATTAAATAATTAATTCGAATGACGGTAATTAAACGCCGCATTTGCGACGTCTCGCGCAAAACTGCGGACAAACCGCATCATGGATAAAGTGAAGCTGTTAAGAGAACGAGTCATTCCGTCGTTCTACAACTTCTAATTGATGTTGTCCGATTATCGTTATTTCTATTGCATTTCGTGAAAATGTTTTCCTCTCGCGGAATAGTAAGTAGTTATTACATACATAATATTCACATTTGAACCGGCTTTTAATTTCTAATTAGATGAAGAGAAGGGATTACGAAAGCTATTTTATTTTATTGAAATAATTTAATAGATATATTTATGTGACATATAACTATATTTGGTACAAATTTGTTAACTAGTTAAAATGATATCAATTATGCTATAGAATTATAGATATATATCATTTGAAAGTTACATTCAAGGCTTTCAAGCTAAGGTTACAAAATTAATACCAACATAAATACTTCTCAAAATTACGTAAAGAGTACGTAAGTTTGCTCCCAAAGTTCATTCGTTTATTTAAATTACACCCTACATATTCGTATATATTTAATAATAGAAGAAGTTAGTACAATGAAGCGGCCAACTGAATAGTTATGGGCGCTCACGAATGGCTCCTGCGGGCACCTCACAACATAGAAGGCTATTGCTTTATACGGCGCACAGTATCTGTAATTGACTGTTTGTGTATTCGCTTAACCCATCCCATACGTTTTTGTTCCCATGCATAATTCCCTTCCGATCGAATCTAATCGCGTTACAAATACGTCGGACTTCGAATTGAAAGCGACAAAGGATGATGTGGTTATATATCCATAAATTCTATAACGGCAGACGGACATAATGAAGAATGATTGTTTAACGAAACAACAACAGCGACCGTGGAACTGCGCCATCGAATGCAGTTGTAGTTTAAGGGTCGATAGAAGTGACGGGCCAACTCATTCACTCCTCATTTGTGATGCAGCTACGTATCTACACTATCAGATTCTGTCATATATCCAAGTAGCAAGGTAACATTTTAATGACGTCTTATTGACGTGAAAGACATCATTAAAACGTTATTAAGACATTATTTGACGTCACCTTGCTACTTGTCTCGCAGAAGAAGGATTTTGTCATGAAACCTCTCTTGACTTATATTTTACGAAGCTACGAAGTCTGCTAAAGAATCGAATTTTTCAATGTCGCTCTTAAAAACATTATAATAAACAAAATGATATGCTCTTTATTTGCACGGATACACGTTTCATTGTATTTTATTTTCTAGAAGTATTGCGTCATGAGACCTTTTTAACTTTTTTTTCTATGAAGCTGCGAAAGTGCGTACAGAGCCGAATTTTGTAAATTGCTTCTTAAAAGAAATTATAATAAATAAAATTATGTACACACCTCAACTGTACTATAGTACACATCGGGTGAAATATCAAAACGAATTTTTATTTTTCCTTTTTCTTTAAAAAATCACTTTGTACGAATCTTCAGGTGTCTTTCCTAATTACGAATATCGCAATTAAAATACTGTGTTCATACAGTATTTTAGCCGTAATTTTAATACAAAGAAATTCGTTTCCGACTGGTGATCTCTATAGTCTCTCGTGTTGACCCTTAACGCGACGCACGCACGCACGCATGCAAGCACGCACGCACGCACGCGTTGCGCCGCGTGTTCGGGTTGTTTATCGATTGGCTAGTCTGACCTAACACTGACACACTTCACTCGCGAAGTCGACCTCCGTTCCGTATCGCGCTATCGACCATCCCCATAACCTTAGGATTTACACAATAAATTTTTCTTGCCGCCCCGCGACGCGGCCATTTGCGGGCTTGAGCTACGCGTGCAAACCATCTTTTAGATTAACGTCATTTCCCGGTATGGAAGAAGAGAGGGGAGAGGAGTTACAGTAAATATGGCTGGCCATTGCCAACCACAATTTCCCGGGGAAGGCACCTGTTTCGCTGTTTTTTTTTTATCGCTTATGTCGGAGGGTTCATATACCGAAAATAAATATGTACTGCATCGCTGATTGTCTCGTAATAACTATTGTTTATTTGTATAATCGTCTCCCGTTACTTGAATCTTTCATAAAGCCAGAGACAACAAGTCCCGCTGAGTATCAAAATTTATGACCAACTTACTTTTAATGAGGTCTTCCGTAATTCCGGTAAAATTTTAATGCTTCTCAAAAGGGATTAAATTTAGGCGTATGGCTAATCCGTAGTAAATCTTTAAAGAAAATAGTCCCTTTTATTATTTTAGCGTCAAAGTGCGAAATAATTTCTGAACTTATCCGGGTATCGCAAATGTTCGAAAATTAAAATAGTATACGGTAAATATGATTAATCTCACATGTACAACTTTAACGAATGACTGATTAATCAAAACTTATGTGATGTGTTAAGCCCGTTAACATGTGGCTCGCCCACAATGATGGAATCTTGGGGTCCTGGGAGGACCGGCACACCCCCGCCGGGACTACCACCGCCGCCATCGGGCGGCAGCAACAACAATGGTGGCGCAACAACGTCGGCGATAATCCCGAGCATCATACCGCAGCCCACTGCTCCCATTGCGAGTCCCGAAGGAGTGAGCGACGTAAGTAAAAAAAGTGCATCCAGCAGCAATTGCGGTGAGCAATTCGCTATGCCAACACGCGATCTCACGTTCCAACATCGCGATAAGTTAATCAGTGGTAATTAAGTAGTGTCATTAGTAATGCATACGTATGAATGAGACTGCAATGGATACAGCTTATTTAATTTTCACATGCGAACAGGGTGTGAAGAAATTTTCCATGTTCTTAATTGTCCGTGAAAAGTACATTTTCAGGCTATTAATGTTTACAGCAACTGTAAAACGAGAAGATATAAAAAAGGAACATAACACTAGTATTACACTAGTTTAAATTTTGAATAATTTTGATTACAAAAAAAGGAAACAACTTTAAGATATAGTAAATTATTTTTAAGATGTATCATGTCGATTTTTAAAGTGTAACATTACTTTTCCTGCATATTTAAATTTCTGAAGATGGCTTAAAATATAAATATACAATAAAGGAACATATAGCCACAGCTAAAGATGTTTTTTTTAGAGATAAATAATATATTCCGAATTAATACATTAACATATAATATTGTATACGTTTGATGGTCAAGATTTGACCATCATCAGTACAGAACGTTGGGGTTACAATTAGATTAAGAGTGGATGTCTTTTATGTATGTCATTGCTTCGATGTTACAATCTTGTTCATTGCAAATTAATATTAATATATGACAACCAAATATTATATGAGAACCAAATATGCTCCTTTATTATATATTTTCCCGCATAATTTGGATCCGAAAAGAGATAAGCAGAGCGGATGTTGCCACAAGGATTTGATGATAATTGAAAACCGTTATTAAAAGTATTGGAACGAACAAAAACGTACTAAGTAACTATACTGAACTCTAGTATAACGTGAAACCAGTCTTAAGTCATATAAAACAACAAAAATTAAATTCTCAATATTTCTGAATTATTTTCCAATTTTAATAAAACTTTACGATTTATTGGAAAAACGTCTTTTCTTATATTTGAGAAATTGGATCTGATGTAAATATTTTGATAGCAGATTTGGAATCAGCGTGAAAATTATCCTAGAAATAGTCTCCGTATGCTTTTGCACAAAATCTTATAAACTAGTTCCAGACAACGCGCCGAGCACGCACATTTAGAATCGAGACATAAGACATCTTACAAATACCTTAAAAACCTTGATATTCCAAGACTCTTAGTCCTGATTTTTTGCATGGTGCTATCTGGGGTGTTACTAAATACGGTTAAGCAAAGAAAATCATATTCGATCAAAGCAGATATGCCTAATAATATTTACGTAAATCTTACAACTTCTACTTTAAGCATATTTTCAGTTTCACGCATAAATATTGCACTATTAGGTACCAAGATCCCTTTTGATCGAATATGGCTTCCCTCACTTTAGTTGTGTTGAACATTTTTCGGTGGATTTTTATTTACTATTAATTATTAAATATTTCTTCTGATGAAATTTCGCATTACATTTATCTGCACGAAACATTGACAATGCAGATGCAAAAGATACTTTCAAAATGTTAACCAACAGTATCTCTGCCGGAAAGAGATTTCAGTGAAATCATCCGCCGAGAGTTTTGATGAAACACCTATTTTAATCACGTTTTCAAACGTAACGTCAGCATAACGAGGACTAAACGAGCGTTCAGCATGCACGTGACGGGTGGCGATAGCCCAAAATTCTGGGACAAAGTTTTACCATCGGTCGCGATACGCGACTGACACGTAGAGTAGATGCGGAACGAGCAAAGATTATCACACGACCGTACACGAGTTAATAGCGCATGCATGAGCTGTTACCATACAATTTGAACACATGTTGGAGCTCTCGTACGTGCGGTGTACAAGAACGAAACTATCTCTCGCACCTACCTATCTACCTTCCGTTTCAATTTCACGAGCATGGATGGACGTAATGGATACCGATCGTGCTATCGAACTAATAAGATTAGCTGTACGTATGTGCCCAACACGTTGCCTTGGCGAGATTCCTCGAATTTTAAAGGTAATAGCTGCCAATATAGGACTACAGGAAGAATCTTTTCTTAGAGGATTTTACGTATCTTAGAGAAAACCAATTCGGCGCACAGTTCTAATGATTATATACATATACCTACTTATTTAGTATATATAAATTCACATAGAAATTATTTAAGCATCTAAGATCTGTAATAGGCTTTAAATTCTTGTTTGTTATGTATTCGCATATACGGTCTTAATAAATTGTTTATTATTGTTATTTTTATAATTACCACTACTCAGTGCCACATTAACCCGGTTTGCGCCTATGGGCTGAAATTTTGAGCGCTCTTTTACATAAGCGCAATAAATTATAGCAAATTCGATGGACTCACTAGTGTGCACTGGTGTATATTAAAGCCACTGTACACTAATTTAATCGGAATGTAAAAGTGAAATGCAAATATTTCGAATTATAAAATATAAATTTTATTTAATAACATAATAAAGTCTATTGAATATTTTATAGTTTAATCAGTTTTTGTATTTATAATAAGCACATATCTTTACGTAAATGTGTGTACGATAGATTTAATCTGTACTAGTGTGGGCTGAGTGCGTCCAATCGAATTCGCTATTAGAGTGATAAATATATCTTAGACTAGAATTACGTGTTATCATAATTATGATTATTACTGTCAGTAATAATAACTACAGCTTTATCGGCAAATATGTATATATAGTTGGTATCAAAATGATTACACACAAATTATAATTATTATTACCATAAGAATGATTACAATTACTATAAATTATAGTTAAATAATATAATAGTAATTGCAACCATTTTTATGGTACCCTCTGAAAGTGAATCAGTGACTTCAGTACTACATTCATAACTGCTATAATCATTAGCAATTATTTACTGTTTTTCAGCAATAATATATCGATTCACTTTTAAGGAGTAATAATAACTATAATTGTTATTTTTAATGCCAACTATATATATTTGTTTATAGAGCTATGCATATAGTTATTATTGTTAACATTATAGCAGTAATAATTATAATTACCCATGTAGTACAAATTTCCCAGGACGTCCAGAGGAATAGTCTAAGGATCCCAGTCTCTCGGAGAAAGTATGCTGTAAATATATAATTATAGTCACACAAATAACAAAAACTTTTCTTTCAGTGCATTATATTGCAATTTTTTTCAAATTGGCAATAAACAACTAGCTATCCGTTTCCGTCGTATTACATTTATGTTATAGTAATTATAAAAAATTACTTTGATAAATATTTCTGAAAAAAATTTATCAGGCCGCGCGATCGCTTTGTGCTTTCAGGTTTCGCAAAAATCAGGAATCTGGGAGGGTGCGAACTCGTCTTCAGGGGGTGTCGCAGAGGGTCCTTCACGGAGTGTCTCTCACGCGGCGAGTCTGGATGCTATCTCGAAGCGAGCCGTGAAACCGGAAACGGCGAGAGCACC